GAGTACAAAGAATTCCCATATACCTTGTACCCTGATTCACCTAGCTGCTTACCTTTAGCTTATTTGTTTTTGCATCCATTCATTCCCTCTCTCTTCTTCATTCCCTCTATCCTGCTCTTCTCTCTCTCTTTCCTCTTGCCTTCTTCCCTCCCATGTTTTCTTAAAGTCATTGGAAAATAAATGGGAGGCATTTTCCTCTTTATTCTTAAATATTTCAAGGTGTATTTAATAACAAGGGCATTTTCTTTCTTAACTACAGTATGAGGATTAAAATCAGGAAATTTAATGTTGATAGAACACAGTAATGCAATCTACAGGCTATATTCAGATACTGTTGATTTTCTCAATAATGTCCTTTATGGCTACGTATATGTGTCCTTGTTTTTGTGTGGGCATACAGTTCATTCTGAGAGTGGCTATTTTTTCCTGGTCCAAGATCCAATGTAAGATTACAGTTGCATTTGGTTGCCATGTTTCTTGCCTTTATTTGAGACAATGTTCATGTTTATTTAATTTTTTTTTTTTTTTGGTCTTTCATGACCTTGATACTATTTAAGAAAGCAGAGAAATTATGTTGCAGGAGGTTTCTCAAATTTGAGTTCATCTGATTTTCCTCATGGTTAGATCCAGGTTTAAGGTCAGTGTGTCTTTCAGTTTTAAGAGGAACTGGTATTTCATCATTTCAGAGTTTTAGAGTGAAAAGATGGGGGAAATGTAATGCTCTGCAGATTCTCAAGTGGAGTGAGGTGGGTATAGTAAACAGGAGAGGTATTCTGAAGGTGCTCATCTACAAGTGAATGACTGTATTCTAAAAGAATAGTTCTCCGAGAGAATTCACCCCACCAATAATAGAGGCAAGTAGATCAAGAGAAGAGGAAGACACAGCCTCTCTATTTTCCTTGATAAGAAATCAAGTGTAGGTAGAATTCTTTCTTGTGTAACATGGAAATAAATTAAACATCTGAAGAATGGTCTCTTCTGCCTCGGAACCTCAAAGTTTCTTGGTGCCAGGAGACATAAATAGGCTTTCTGCTCTTCTGTAGTAAATCCGTGACTGTCTCTACATAATACCCACACATCAGGCAGAAGATGAAAAATGCAGCCCAGCATCCACCATCTTTTTAGTTCATTCCGAAAATGACCAGACATGTTCTAAAAAAATGTTCTTAGTCTAGATATGGGCAATGTCTTTCATCATTGAGAACACTGAGACTCTTTAAAAACAAATGACTTTTGAAGCAGAGTGATAGAAAGGACTGTGTTATAGTTGGAAACAACAGGAATAAAATGATTGCAAGTAAATGCTTCCTTTTGGTGCCATGCACAAAGTTATTGATCTTGAATGTACTGAAGTTTAGAAGTGACACAGTTTGGTTTAAATGTCCCCTCCAAAACTCATGTTGAAATTTAATTGTCATTGAGATGGTATTAAGAGGTAGGATCATTAAGAGGTGGATTAGGTCATGAGGCCTCCACCCTCATGAATAGATTAATGACATTATCTCGGGGGCTGTGTTCCTTATTGTGAGAGTGGATTGTTATACAAGCGAGTTCAGCCCTTTCTTCCTCGCTTGAGCACTCTTCCTCTTCCATCTTCTGCCATGGGATTATGTAGCAAGAAGGCCCTCACCAGATGCTGGCACCTTGATATTAGACTTCCCAGTTCTGGAACTATGAGAAATAGATTTTTTAAAAGGTATTCTGTTTCAGTTTTGGATATTCTGTTATAGCAGCAGAAAACAGACTAAGGCAAAAAATTGGTACAGAGAGTGGGGTTATTGCTATAGCAAATACTTGAAAATGTGGAAGCAGCTTTGGAGTTGGGTACGGGGTAGAGGCTGGAACAGTTTTGAAGTAAATGCTGAAAAACTGTATTGCTGTGAATGGAGTGTTAAGGGTGGCTCTGGTGAGGGCTCAGAAGAGAATAGCTGTAGGAAAAGTCTGAGACTTCTTAGAGATCACTTAAGAGGTTGTGATCAGAATGTTAGAAATATGGATGATAAGGGCCATTCTGATGAAGTCTCAAGCAGAAATGAGAAACATGGTATCGGAAACCAGAGTAAAGGCAATCCTTGTTTTAACATGGTAAGAATTTGGCTGAATTGTATCCATGCACTAGGGTTTAGAAGATTCCATTAGAAGATGGAATTTAAGAGCAATGATCTAGATATGGGGCAGGAGAGTGTTCAAGGTGCTGCATGGCTTCTTTTGGGTGCTTACAGTAAAATGAGTGAATAGAGACATTATTTAAAGACATAATTTACAATTAAAGGGGAAGCAGAACAGAAAGATTTGGAAGACTCTCTGCCTGTCCATGTGAAGAATAAAACAGTGTATTTGGGAGAGAGTACTAAGGGTGTGGTCAGGCAACCATTTGCTAAAGAGATTGATACAGCTAGGATGGAGCCAGGTGCTGTTAAAGACAATGAGAGAATTATCCTGATGGTATTTCAGAGATCTTTCAGGCAAGCTAGCACCTGGAGGGCAAGATTTCAAGAGGGGTACCTGTGGGACCTCAGCATTCAATACCCTGTGCAGCCTTGGAATTCTCCCCAAGTTCCAATGCAGCACCCCTCAAGCAGACCCAGGTACAGCTAGTGCCAGAGCTTCAGAGGTCACAAGTGGTATGCCTTGATGGCATCCACATGGTGCTGATCTTGTGGAAGTATAGAGTGCATGAGCCTTGGGGCCATGGTCACCTCCACATAGATTCCAAAGGATGTATCAGACAGTCTGGGGTCCTGGCAGAAACTTGTTACAACTTGTTACGAGGGAGGACCCACCACAGAGAGCTTGTACTAGGGGGCAGTCCTTAGGTGGAACCATGGGAGTGAGGCTACCTCAGAGACTCCCGAAATGTAGAGCTGCCAGTGTACAACTCCAGCCTGGGAGAGCTGCAGGCACAAGACCCCAGTCCAAGAGAGCTGCTGAGTGGATGGGGTCCAGCAAAGCCACAGGGGCAGGGCTGCCGGTGGTGTTGGTAACCTAGTTCCTGCTGTAGCATGTCCAGGATGCAGGACATACAGAGCCAAAGGACATTTTTCTCCAGCTTTAAGATTTAATGTTGTTTTACCTGTTGGGTTTTGGACATACTGGGAATGAGTTACTTCTTTCCTTTTCCTATTTCTCCCTTTTGGAATGGGAATGTCTATTTTATGCCTATTCCATCATTGTGTTTTGGAAGTAGATAACTTGTTTTGATTTTATAGGCTTATAGCTGGAGGGCATTTGAGGTGGGATGAATCTTGAGTTTCATATCTGTTTAGATGGAACTCTGGACATTGGGCTTTTGAATTGGTGCTTTTGGGCTATTGAGATGGAATGAATACACTTTGTATGTGAGAAGAACATGAGTTTTGGGAGGCCAGAGGTGGAATGTTATGACTTGAATGTCTCCTCCAAAACTCATGTTGAAATTTAATTGCCATTGTGCTTTGGACTTCCCAGCCTCTAGAACTGTGAGAAATAAATTTCTTTGTAAATTACTCAATTTCTGTTCTGTTATAGCAGCAGAAAACAGACTAAGACATGACAAGAAAGTGTTAATTCTTTCAAGTAAGTGCCTCAGGTGCACTCTGGGAAAATATGACTGAATGAGTTACTGCTCAGCCTAAAATTAAACTCCTGGCTTCTTGTCTGGCATAAGAACTATTAGATCGCATTACTTTCCACTGATGGATCTATCTTTTTAATGAATTGAAAAAAGAATACCCAGTGGTTCCTTTTGTATGAAGAAAATAAGATAAATATTAGCCAGGAAAGGTCATTTTGGTTTTCAATATGTGGGGAGTTCATTATGATGGGTTCTGATAAATTATATTGTGTAGTTCTTTCTGATAGCAGAAGGTCACATCATGCCCTGGGGTGGATATAAGGACAAACATACTTAATAAAGTTGGAGGATCTGGGAGATGAACATTTTCAAGTTTTTTGTTTTTTTTTTTTTTCTGAGCAACTCATATTTATACAGTTATTTAAAGCCATTTCCCTCTTGTTGAACTAATTACTCAAGGCCCATACTCTCCTATATGCAGCCCCAAAGTGGTGAGTCTTTAAATTTATTACCGAAAGTGTTCTCTAATCAAACTTGTGGAATTGTCTTCGGGTTATTCAAGAGAAAAATCTCAGTTGTGCTTGGTGGTGGATTCTTAATTGGTTCTACAGGATTCTAAAGTAATTAAACTGCATTTCAAAAATCATTTTTATGTTATATTTGCAACTTGAATATTTATTAATGCATATCATTATTTTTCTCTGATCGCCACCACTGGGAGGGATGTATTTAACTTAGCATCATTACAAATGGTATCGTTTCATGTTCTATTTTTTTCTTAAGATGTCTTTGCTTTAGGATCATCTGACTCCTTTTACAAATGTGTTCGCTAAGTAGAAAAATCCTTTTAGGTTTGTGCATTGAGGGAGTGTCAATTATAGTATTCACAAGTGTTCTTTATATTTTGATATTGTGGATTATATTGGAAACACTTTTTCTCTTGGTGTTCTATTAACATTCTTTCAAAAAGCAACCTTGTAGATATTCTAGCATCATCTTCAGGCTTATGTCACACAAATCTAAGAATTCAGATCTTTGTGCTGGCTTTTCCACTGCTCTATGGGCTTGGGCAAATTGCATGTCTTGGGAATGCATTATCTCCAACTTCCATTTTTGCCTGATGGTCAATGAAATGGGAGAGTGAAATTTGTCCATTTCAAATGATTTGGGGCCCTTTGTTAAATTTTGAATACCTTTCCTGCTACAGGAAGTTCTTTAAAACTATATTATGTTAACTAATATGTGGCTAGTTAATGACTGTAGAATTCTGTATCTTTTCCTCCCTAATATTAGGACACCTCACAAATATGGATATGTTTGGCTGTCTGCCACTTGCCTGAAACTGCAGGTGTCATGGTTAAAAACCATTATTTTGCTACTGGAAATTAGTTTCATTTTAATATTAAAATGCTAATTGATTCTTTTTTTTTTGGTCTTTTTAACATAGGTCTTCTGAGCTATGATAATTTTTTGGAACGGCAGAAATGATTGGTTTAGCTACAGATGGGAATTTGGAGTCACTCTGAAATACATCCTGGAATAATTGTGTTTGACTAGAACCAAATCTTATGAGGTCCCCAAGGTAAGATTATTTTAACGTTTACCTGGACATGATATCTCTACAAAGTATTGAGAATTTAGCAAAAGTGAGTATCCTGGAGTTGATGATCCTTTTTAGAAGCCTGCTTTTACACAGACTTTTTGGGAATTTGGGGAAATGTTGATCTTTTCATTTATCTTTCATCTGTGAAATGAAAATTATTTCAGTTTGCAAAATAGTACTTTGGTTTATTCAGTAGGGGAAAAGATGAGGAAATATAAATCTATTGCTGAATAGCTTTCTGGCCCCACCCCCACCACTGTGACCTGGCATTTCTCTGGGGGAGTGGTTGTTGAGCTACTGTTAAGTGAATACTTGTTTTAGGGACTGGGAACTTATGGCTACTCACCCAGCAACTCGTTACATAGAATTGTCCACATAAGAAGAAGATAGATTAGGGATCATTGCCCAGGATTTGGAATGTCTGCCCTTGAGACTTTTGATTTAAGGCATTTGTTGTTGAAATCCAACCAGAAAAACAAACTATTCTGCTGACTTTTTCACTGCTCCATGAGCTTGGGTAAATTGCATGTCTTGGGAATGCATTATCTCCAACTTCCCATTTTTGTCCAGTGGGAAGTGAATTCAGGAGACTGGTTATACATACGATGGGAGAGTCAGGGAAACTGAGCAGAAGATACACAGGAAGCCACTGCCATCCCCTGGCTGGGGACCATGGAAGCAGTTAGTCCGTGGGGAAGCAGTGCCTAGAAGAAGGAAACTAGAACGGAAGCTAGAACCACAGTGGGCCCTTCTGGCAGGAACTGGAGCCATGGTGGAGAAATGGCCACTCCACAGATCCTGCCAAAGACAGAGAAGGCAGGGAGAGATGTCCTGGCCTATCCCTTTTCCTATTCTCCAGGTTCCAGCTGTTGCCTGTCCTTGACTGAACCCAGCCAGTAACCAGCTGACCTGGGAGCCTGGGAAATGCAGCCTAGAGGGCCCGCCAGCCGTCAGTACCGGGGAAGGGGGAAGAATGGATCTGAAGGCAAAACAGGCCCAGGCTGTCATAGAATTCATATATTTAAAATAAACTTTTGTTTCTTTTTCATTTTATAATATCACTTTCATTACTGAAGAACATCCCATCTCATGGCTGTGTCATAATTTGTTTAACCAGTCTCATACTGTTAAACATTTGGATCATTTGGATCATTTTTTTTGTCTTTCCCTCCCTGCCTCCCTGCCTCCCTGCCTCCCTACCTTCCTGCCTTCTGCCTTCTTTTTTTGAGACAGGGTCTCCCTCTTTGCTCAGGCTGGAATGTGGTGGTACAATCATAGCTCACTCCTGCCTTGAATTCCTGGCCTCAAGCAATCCTTCCACTAGTCTCCCAGTGTGCTGGGATTACAAGCAAGAGCCACCATGCATGGCCAGATCATTTTCAATAGTATAAACAATAAAAAAAGTCCCATACATTGCTGGTTATTTCTTTAGGGTTAAATCCTATAAGTGATCTACTGGATTGTAAATGCTTGACACACATGGTCAAATTATCTATCAATTTATGGTTTTATCGAGTGAAACCCTTTCTCTTTGATTTAGATATATTTCATTCAATTATTGCCAACAGTGGGACATTATTTTAAATATTTTAATTGCTTTCCTTTGAGTGTGGGTGGCATTGTAGTTATGATGAGAGTTACATCTTTTATTAAATTATACCTGTAAGGCATAGATGAAGGGATTTCACAGGTGTTTTTAAGGTTCCACATACACTGAATTTAGTTAATCAAAAGAGAGATTATCCTGGGTGGGATTGACCTAATCAGATAAGCCCTAAAATGAGACTGAGCCTTTCCTGGAGGAAGAGATTCAAACCATGAAGGAGCTCATGCAGGGGCCATGTGGCAAAGATGTGAAGGGCTTGAGAGCAGTTCCTGGTTGATAGCAAGAATACAGGGAATACAGAGAGTCCCAAGAAAATGGCTTTGGCCAACAACCTGAGGGCACTTGGAAGTGATCCTTCCCCAGTTGAGCCTCCAGATGAGGACATACCCAGCTGACACCTTGATTTTAGCCTGTGAGTTTCTGAGCAGAAGACCCAGCCAGAACATGCCAGACTCCTGACTTACAGAAACTATGAGATAATATATTGGTGTTGTTTCAAACTGCTCCTGTCCAAGCACTAACTAGGCCCAACCCTGCTTTGTTTCTGAGATCAGGTAGGTTGAGGGTAGTATGGCTATAGATTGTTGTTTTAAACTTCTAAGTTTGGTAATTTGCTTCAGACATTGCTAACATTCTAAACTTACACAGAAACATGGAGCCTGTCTGCTTCGAAGGGCCTTTGGTTTCTCAAAGCATGCCTTCCATCTCTCCCACCTCAGTGTATGCACATGATGGGGACAGAAACTTTAGGAGCAGCTTGAAAGGTGGCAAAGAAAATAATATGTGGATCTTACATGAGTTCTAGATGCTATTATCAATCACGTAATTTGGGGGAAGTCCAGAGGCTCAAATTTCTGTATTTGATGATTTTTGTTTTTTTGTAATGGAACACTCTGTCTCACACATAATGTTCTAAAATTTCAGTTTATTATCCCAGTGTCAGCTATCGATCTATTTGTTACAAAAGCTTATTCCTCTTACCCAAGGATCAGAAGTTCAAATGGCCATATGTAAATGAGTCGGGCTGGTTGGGCCCAAGGTACTGACTGCTGGGAGGGACTGTGGAGACCCGTCTAGGGGCAGCTGTGACCACCCCAGCCTGTTACTCCCATGCAGAAATGTGAGCCCAGGGATGCCAGGAATAATTTTTAAAGAGAATCTGGATTCTGATGTGCAATCTGGACATTTTGTGTGTTGGCAACCAATTCAAATTTTTTTTTTTTTTTAAAAGCACAGATCAAACAAAACACATTTGCAGGCAGTATCAGATAGCCTGGCTTCCAATTTGTCATAATTAGTGGCCCCAAAAGGGAAAATTTCAAGGCATCACATAAATGAAGGATTAATGTTCTATTGCTGCATTGCAAATTACCCAACATAGACATTTAAAACCATTTTGAAACAGTTTAAAAGGGCAAAAGGAAGCCAATGCTTTTTGTTACCTTTAACACCAAGTTCTTCAAAGATGATTGTCTTGGCTGCTTAAAAAGCAGACTAAATCTCAAATCAATAAGCAATACACCCTTTAACAAGATCTATTTGACGGAATTGTGAGAGGTCACGGGGAGAGAAGGTTGGCAGCAGAACATGTGTGTGCCTCAGAGTATGGTGTGGGCATTCAGTTCCCCTGAGGCTTTGATGTGTTTTCCTGGAGCAGGGAACTGGGACTTTGGTAGAGGCACTGCTAGGTTGCTGGCAGCTGGAGATGCTTCCTTGGAGGACTTCCTTAGGAGTCTCGCCTATAGTGTGACTCAGGCAAGAAGCCAAACTCAGATGCCATGTTTTTATTGTCGGCCCATAAGTGTGTATACATTTGCATATATTAAACGGGGGTTTCTTTGATCCGTTGTGGTAATAAGATGCCATGAGGAATGTGTGAGGAAGAACCTAATTTCAGATGCCAAATGCAGTGACTTTTGCTTGAACAGTAAATTTAAAAAAAGCAAACAAAGTTAATCAAGTTCTATCTACTTAATTCCCTTATGATGTTATAAAAGGGCAGAAAATTAGGCAGCTGGGAATAATGTTTTTGATATCCTCCTTTTTTTACTCTTTTGTTTTAGAATAGACCATACAACCATAACATGAACTGAATTGTCTTTGAGCAACTGTTTTGATACTGTCCATCATATGAAGTTAAATTTATTTTATATTCACCTGTATTTGCCCATACTCCTCCCCAAAGGAGGAGTTGAGATTGGTTTAATCAACTGTGAACCCAGTCTTGCAGACCAGAAAGCCTTAGTGTACAGTCAGAGAAACCAGGCGAAAGTTCTTGGACCACATGTGCAAAATCTCCATGGATTCTTTCAGATCCAGAAATCATATGTATTTTATTTGGATCTAGCTCTACGTGTGTTGCTTTTACATCTCATGGTATAAAATAGAATAAAATCCCCGTGCTCTATTAGGATAACTCAAGCAACAACTTGCGGATTCATAAATTAGCTTCTCACTGATGCATAGGGCTAACTCGGAAAACTCTAACTTATCAAAGGTTTTTATTGAAAATTTACTTAATGCTCAGTGCAAATAAGTTTTGATTGGTTTTCTGTTTTCTTGGGAGAAAGGAATTCCAGCTCCAGGGATCTGCCCCTGCTTTCTCCCGCCTTCCTAGGATGGTGCTTGCCAGGGAACCTGGCCTTCCTCAGCCCTCACTGACTCCAGCCCTGCTTTTCCTCCAGGATGAGAGCCTGTGCTAAGTCAGTGTTGCTGTCGCACTGGCTCTTTCTAGCCTACGTGTTAATGGTGTGCTGTAAGCTGATGTCCGCCTCAAGCCAGCACCTCCGGGGACATGCAGGTAAGCCCTTTAAGCTCATTATGCACTGCTGAGATAAATTAATACAACCCCTCCAAACGTCAGAGTCCACATATTAGACACAGGTAACTGATGTGAGCTTCTGATGGTGTGTAAATAACTAGAGGAAGCATGAAATATGGCGGAGTAACACAGTTTAATGCTTTAGTGCTTAAATAGTCCTTTAAAAATATTTTTCAGGCTTTTAAAAACTTTTGTTTTCTTGGGCACACTTTTATTTTTATAGCACTTTTTCTCAAGGAATCCCAGAAAACCAGCAGCAATTTGTGTGGTTGGCGTGTGTGTGTGTATACATGTCAGTCCATCTGTCCATCCATCCATCCATCCACCCACTCCTGCAGCTTCCTTAGAAGTAGAACATCTTTATAATAAACTTCAACTAACACTTATCGGGCTTTAGTGAAGGGAACAGTCAGATAATTTAAGATCTTTTTGAGATATGTGGAGAAAATATGCTACATGATTTTTTTTTTTAAAAGAAGAGAGAAAAGAGAAAAAGCTGTGGTAACTTTCGTAAGGGACTTAAAATAGGTGTTGTCTAAAGATTTAGAGGCAGCCATTCTGATAATATTCTGATCAGTCATTCTGATAACAGTGAAACTCATATCTCTGCATTGCTGATTTTTAAAGGCGAGATCAAAACCATCAGCTACAGATCAGTTTGTGTGTTTTTTTTTGTGTTTGTCCTTTCTTTCTTACATCAACATTTAAAGTAACACAGTGGAAACTCCCCAGTGAATTGTGTTTTCCTGAATAATTCATATTTGTCAGTGGACTTGTTGTCAATTAATTTACTCTCTCAGCTTTGGTAATCTGAGGCATGGCAGTGCCAGAAATGTTTTGACTTCTTTGGAAAAGAGTAATGCCTGAACCCTAAATCACGTATGGGTCAGAATTATAAATTCTCTCTCCAAAGGTCTTGTGTATGGATAGTTCATGAGATAGTCTTACCACCAAATATATAACATGTTATACTTTCCACTTTATTCTGATATTTTAAGGTTAGTCATAATTTAAGGCTCAAGATAATTTTTAAAATCTCACACAACTCAATTTTTGCTCCTCAAGTGACAGTTCCAAGAAGATGAGAAAAATAATGATTGCAGTTTCAGCAAATCAGCATAAAATCAATACCATTTGGCTGCTGTGAAGTGCCCACAGCTAGTTGGTTATTGTGCTGTACCTATTTTTATGAGTTTGTTCATGAGGATAGAGTTCGAGGTCCTCGATCTTATCTCTTTTCTTGAGTGGAGTTTAGGAGTCAGATTAGTTGACAGGTGAAGAATTTCAGTGGGATTACCACCCACTCTCATTCATGTTATAAATTTTCTCTAATGATCTTCAGGGAATGAAAGTCCATGATCCTTGCAATGTCCATGTGGCATTTTTGTCCCAATTTAGTGCTCAGCTGATGGAGAACTCAGGATCGCCAGAATTAATTGGGGCAGTGCACTGAGATCCTGAGAAACTCCGGTCAGATTTTCACTCTGCTGTGGGTGTATTACATGGAAGTCTGACAGTGGGAGCAAGTTGCAGAGAGTTACCTGCAGAAGGCTGTGTCTGAGTGTCCAGAAAGGCTCCCGGCACTGTCCCATGGGCTTCGTGGTTAGTGCTGGTCAATTAAATAAATGGTGGCACTAGGAAACCCTAGTTAGAAGTTGGATGCTTTTTATGGCTTGGATTAGAAGAGTGGATGTTGATTGCTGTGTGTAAACAAGGAGGTATCTTACAACCCTATCTCCACCTGCCTGGCTAAGAGACACGGAAGAAGGTGGGAATCTCCCCCCAGTTTTGGGAGATGGGGTGTTATGGTAGGTGTGTATCAAAGATTTAATTTTCATTTAAGCATTAAAAAAAAAAAAATAAAAACGCACCTAATTTTCACAGGTTGGGTGGTGAGACTCTTTCTTAAAGACAAATAGCATTAATACATTTCCACAGAGTCCAGAGGTAGTATTTCTAAGCGTCTAAAAAACACAAAAGACTGCTTTTGTTGTTTTTAAAGTCTATTTGCCATCATAATTGAGCAGGAGATCACATACACATATAGGACTGTGTAGTTTCAAGCTGTAGAAAAGGTGAAGGGGCCAATTGGTAGGTTCGTTTCTTTTAAAAGGAAGCCAGGGCTAACTCTTGTTATTTCTTCAACCAGCAATTTGTCCTTTTGTTCCTCTTTTTTTTTTTTTTTGGCTGTAAGCAGTGCATCACTTCCCCACAAGGGGGCAGCAAATATGTTTTGTGCAGCGGAAAGATGCCATCTGGAAGGAAGTTTCGGAAACTCGACTCCTGTGGAATTAATGATTTAGGGATCTTCCTACAAATTTCATCCGATGTAGACACGAGTGGTTGGGACACAAAGCACCTTACAACTTTAAGATTTATTCCTGGGAATACTAGGAGACTTCAAAAATTCAGATTTTTGTCCTTTAAAGATGGAATCATAGCTAATTTTCTGATGGAGCTGGAGTTGGGAACTTGGGTGCTATTGATTTATACGTTCACTTTAATAGTTCCATTTCCCTAGAGAACTTTGAACATGACCTGGACTGCACTATTTCAATTCCACAAAATGCTGTGGTGCTTGGTGACTATTTAATGTCACTTTATGCCAATGTAATCAGTTGGCATAAAGTCCCTGGAAAAACTGGGGCACACCTGGAAATGAGGCAGGAGAGGAAATCAAATGTTGAGGGGTCTAAAGTCAAACGTAATTCTGGTTCTGGTACATCCTGGCTGTGTGGCCTTATCCAGGCCACTTAACCTCTCTGAACCTGTTTCATCATCTGTAAAAATGGAATGATATCCATGCTTTTTTTGTTTGGAGTTATTGGAATAACTGAATAAGGAAAAGTAGGTGAGGGGATTAGCACATAGTCAACATTCCATAAGTGGCAGCTATTTTCACATTTGGAGGCATCTCTACAATGAGTGTGGAAAGGTTTGCATTCCAGGAACGGCTGAAGACGGTGAGCATGGGTAGGTAGATGTGGTCAGAGCCTTTAGGGTTTGAAGCTTTCTCATGTGTAAGAGAAAAAGGTTTGTTTTTTCATTGTTCTAGAAAGCTGACTGTGGCAAAGAAAGTCGCTTTATGAAGACTGAGGTTTCAGCTCAAACTTAAGAAGGAGAGAAAGGCTTCAACAAGCTGGGAACAGAGTGACCCAGAAGGGTGTTGAGAGCCGTTTTATTTGCTGGCCTTGAGCTAAATCTGCTGCAGAGAGGATGTCTCACTGATTGGGAAGTAGTTAGATGTCAAGAATTGTGAAGGGTCTGAGCTTTTACCGTCCTCGCAAGCTAGTAGGTTAGCTGGATGCTGGGCAGAAGGCATGAGATGCTTGGGTCAGAGACAAAAGATTTTATTTTACTTTAATCAATCAATTAATTTTTTTGAGATGGAGTCTCCCTCTGTCACTTAGGCTGGAGTGCAGTGGTGCAATCTCAGCTCACTGCAACCTCTGCCTCCCAGGTTCAAGCAATTCCCCTGCCTCAGCCTCCTGAGTAGCTGGGATTATAGGCGCCTGCCACAACGTCCAGCTAATTTTTGTATTTTTAGTAGAGATGGTCTTTCACTATGTTATCCAGGCTGGTCTTGAACTCCTGACCTCAAGTGATCCACTCACCTCGGCCTCCCAAAGTGCTGGGATTACAGGCCTGAGCCACTGTGCCTGGCCCGAGAAAAAAGATTTTATTACTCATGGCACAGGAAGCAGCATGAGCTTCAGGTTTGCTTCAGTTCTTCTTTCATTCTTGGGCAAGTTATGAAACCTCTTTGGACTCAGCCTCTTTCTATGTAAAATGAGAATAATAAAAATAATAAAAAGTAAACCTCAGAGTTATAATAAGGAATCAATTAATACCTGGGAAATGCTGAGAACTGTGTTTGCTTAGTGTGTGCTCAAATGCTAGTTATCTTTATTTAGACCTATCTTCTTTTCTTGAATGTTATCTATTTTGTAGAGGTTCTGTACTGTTCAAATTTGTGGAAATTTAGGTTTTCTGTTTTTTTTTTTTTTTCCCTGTTATAAATGGTTATGCAAAATATGCATGTTGTGGTTTTGTGTTTTGATGGTTTATGTTATTTTTAACTTAGGGTAAATTTTTTGAAGAGCGATTGTTGCATCCAAGTTTGGGCCCATGTTTTCTGTCCCCTATAATGGCTGAAATTTATAGGAACCCTGCAAATACTCTTGACTGGATGGACTGTTTTAGCTCTAATTTTCTACAAGAAACTAGGTAATTTCAAAAATACTAATTGAGTGGGGCATATAACATCTAATACAGGAGTCTCTCCGAGGCTTAAATTTGAGATAATATTTGTGAAAATGATAAAATTGTATGTACAAATGGCTATTTGTACTTTGCTGGCACAAAAGAATTGTACTTACACAGATGAGTTTGAAAAATGATTTGCCTGCATTGCCTACTTTCTGACACTAGGGGGTAGGCAAGGCTTATCATAGCTAAATAGAGCCACACATGTAATTTTGCATGTTATAAAGCCGTGTTGAAAAAAGTAAAAGGAAACAGAAGAAATTAGTTTTACTAACACATTTTATTCAACCCAATATATTCAAAATATTATCATTTTAACACGTGACCCTAGCCACATTTCAAGTGCTCAATAGCCACATGTGGTTAGAGCCTACTATAAATTAGTACCGTGGACTAATAATGAGTTAGGTCTTAATGTTGCTTTTTTAAAGATTAGATTTATGGATTATTTTAATTTTCATGGGTCAGTCATAGAGCACACTGTTTTATCTCTATTTCATTTAATTTATGTTTTATTTAGTTATTTCTTTCTTTTTTTTTTTAAACAAATGACTACTAAATTTAGAAAAAGTACCCGGTAAGTGGGATTTGTAACCTCAAGTCATAAAGAATGGGGAAGAGTTCTGTTTCCTGATGAATTACTTATGCTATTATTCCCTGTAAGAGCGTATTTTTAGGGAGAGGGAAGTGGCAAAAGTAATTTGACTGTGTGT